TAGATAGTTTTCTCACCACCCAGTGAAACGTGATGCTATAACCTGCAGCCTCGAGGAGAACAGCGTGTGCAATACATAATGCTTTTCACAGTGATGCTCCATTTTGATCGCATCTCCATTAAGTAGAATGAAAAAAACCCTCACCCTGGTAGATCGCTTGGCATGAGGGAAAAAAACTATAAAGTGGAAATCTGTGAGTAGGAAAGAGCTGGTGTTATTGAACCTTGGTGTGCTTTAGGTCTCAGGTGTGCTCCTTTCGAGCTTATGTAAAACAAGTGGAAAATGCTATTCTGTCAGGTAGCATTTTTTGTCTACTCTGTACCCCCTTTAGCTCAGCGTAACTAACGATGTCAGCGAAAGACCATGGGGAAACTGTGTCTGTGGTCACTGACTGCAGCTTATTGCCAGGATGCCCCTATGAATACCGGGAAGCTTTCCTGCTTCTGAAGTTTAAGATGATGCAGATACCATTTGATAAGTGAACTCCTCCTCTTTCCTTGACTTTCTATCCTCTCCCTCCCGGTCACATGCTGTGCTGACCAAAATCAAGGACAAGGGGAATATGTACTGGCATCCTTTATGTTTAAAAATTACATAACAGCAAAAGGAGTTTAAAATTATAGGGTTTCTTTGTTGGTTTTTTTTTAATTATAACATTTGTGTCCTTTTTCTTTAATATTAATTTAATAATAACATCACATTTCCATGGCTTTCATCTATTTTCCCTACTACCAAGCATGAGGGCTAGCAACTTGCTGTCCTTCTACATGAGAGTCTCACAATATCATATGAATCCAAAAACCTCTGCTTCTAAACAAAATACCAAGAAAAATAAAGAAAAATATAAAAAGAGGTATGGTAGTGTTACGAGAGAAGGTAATATTTTTCAGGGACATCAGTCCAGCGCATGCCTGGATATCTCTTTATGAAGTCCAGCCATTTACAAAGAGCTGCTTTAGTCCTGTACACAAAGATGCCTTCTAACTCATCCCCCCTTCAGCCTGTCAAAAGTATCATCATATCACAGCTGTGGACATCCCTTCTGTCGGGTTATGGGCTGGCAGAGGTAGATCTTATCTGACTCTTGACATAATTTTCCAAATTAAATCTAGCATAAAAATGAAAAATTGTGCCGTACTAGTGACAGATGCAGCCCACTCCCATGTAGTGGTTCACCTGAATTTGATGCTCTGGGTTTACAGCCCCACAAAGACCTTTGAGCAGAAGACAGTGTTTTCTAACATCTTGCGGGTCCCTTTATGTGGCAGCGCCTTGAACAAGTGCACTGGCTTCGAGCCCTGCCCCATTCAACATATGTGAGCACGACCTTGTTTCCATAGAGGCTGCCTGCTTTCGGCATTCACGCTAAAAGGCAGTCAGCAAATTTTGTGAGGATGAAGTGGTTTTTAGCAAGAAAAAGTCCCATTCGTAATGCTGCTGAAAAAATATCCTCTTATTTGGTTTTATACTGGAAATCGTGTGAATACAAGGAGTCTGCCCCAGGGACCTAAGAGCGTACAGCAGTACAGATAAAAACAATTGTACTTAAAACATAAAATCCACCATTCAATGAGTAAATAAAGAGTAACACAATGCAAAGCAGTCGTTAAGAATTCATGTGACAGTACTGTGAAGTGTAGAAAATCTGTGATTATGTGGGCAATAAATGAGAGAGAAAATACATAACAAAAACAGTATTTAAATTCAAAACTTCATCTTAAGGACCGTCAGCAAGTGGCCAATGCATTAGGAAAGAAATCTTACCTAAGGCCAGAGGCTACTTTTCAAAAAAAAAAGGTCCCAAGTCATCAGCATGAACACAGGTTCAGTGACAGAGGAACACTAGTTTATCATCACTAACATGATACTGTTTTTGTAAAAGGTAACTGGATGTTAATACTAAATTATTTTCATCTGTTTGAGAGAACACATCTCTTTCTAATACAGATTATTTTGTTTTATAGAAGGCAGGTGAACATATTTACTGGATTTGTTGCCATCAAGCTGTGCACTCTGACCTTTTCCCAGGTCGTTTCTTCTGGCTTTCCTCCCCTCCAGCATTTCTTCAGTCAGTATTTCCTTTTGAAAGGATTAAAGCCACACTGTACATGTGATGTCTCTATTTTCTACCTGTTATTTCCAAAGATACCACATAGATTCTTACCTTACATTATGTCAAACATTACCTTTTACTATTTAAAATGTTAAACCCTGGTAAAAGAATTAAGTGATAGTCTAGTCTGAGATACCACAATAAGATATCAGGTTTGTACATGAACAATGAATGCCTAGCCACCTTGTGATCTTTGGGAAGATGTCTATTATTTCCATGTTTCAGCCAAATAAATGAGTTTTATACTTAAGACTCACCTTAACTCAAATCCCAATCTTCCCGTAACAACAGGGCCAGGTTCTCCAGTGAAGCTTCCCTCCTTCATACTAATGCAGGATCTAAGTCCATGATAATTTGTGTTTATTGATTTTTAAGGTGACAAGGCCCACTTGATCATCTCCGGTGCTTTACAGACTCATAACCATCACTTGGTTTTGAACCCAGTAATTGGTACCTGGCAAAAACAGTGTTTCCTACCCACCACATCTGAAGCCCAAAAGAGAACAATGGGAATAGATGGATTTGTGATGTATTAAATAATGAACAGAAAGTTACTGGAAGCAAATCTTGCTTTCCTAGCCTCCACACATGCTGGGCAGAGTCTTGGGAAGAGAAAAACGTGGCAAAGGGGACAGGATTGAAGGGCACTGGACTTCCAGACCGTTTTTCCATCTCCAAGCGACTCAGATGTTTTACATACATGAAAAGTGTCTCAGCCACAAGGTGCAAGTCTTTCAGAGACCCTCTGTCTGCCCCCACTGGCTTCAGCTGCTGAGAGACCAGTTTGCTTCCTCCTCATTGCAGCTGCAGCATCCTGCATCCCCAAATCTGAAAGTCAAACCCTGCCTCTGCTCTCAAAGTATTCAAGTCACCCTCCTGAATTAGACTTGCTGCAAGCAATAAAGCAATGAGATGCTTTTCTTTAATTGCCCTTTTTGGAATTCATATGACAGTATGATACTCAATTAAAAGCTTGCCAATCTGAAATCATGGAGGAAACGAGACAAAAACCCTTCCAGAAATGTGTCCAGAGTGATCTGAGATGTGAAGCAAGGAGAGTGCTGGACAGGGATCTGATTTTTGCCTGGCCTCTGCCACTGATTCACTGCAATGCTTTCTGCAAGTCGTTTATTGTGCATTAATGTGCTTATTGATGGAGGAAAAACAGTATTTATTTCCTTTCACAGAGTTGTCCCGAGTCTTACTAACCATTGCTTGTGCAAATCTTTGGATGAAAGGAATCATAAGAGGTCTAAGCTCTTAATATATATTACTTATTGTACTTTAAAACAAATGTCATCACACTAGGTAGGAATTAACATTCCAAAGCCTGTAGGGTGGGTACCCTTTCATACGCATATATATAAAAGTCACCAAGTGATCTGCCTCAGAGGAAGACTGATTGAAGACAGGTGAGTCTGAATTCACTCATAGAATATTTATTTAGAGCCAGAAGCCTTGATTTTGCTTTGATTTAGCATTGTGTCAATATTGTGATTGTTATGCTCTTTCTACTTAAGGCTTGTGGTGCTTTTTGTAATGGGAGAGAAAAAAAAAAAGGCTGATAACTTGAAACTTTATAATATGGCAATTTTTTGCATGTGGAAACAGCTACAGCCTGTAGCTTTTGATGGGGCCCCGTATGGATTTGCCGTTGCATGAATAGGTATTGGGTCAAGCTATATTGATCCAGGCTTGCAAATACTCCCTCTGAGAGCTCAAACTAAGCTACTGCGTGCACCCAGCTCCAGGCGGGGGAGTTTCTGGCCTGAATAAGCTCACTCAGGACAAGGGAGTCTTTCTGATGACACCGGTGGACTGTTTATGTTTGTGCATCCATGCAGTTTGGTTTGCAGTAAAAATACAAGCTAGAGAAAAGGTCACACACTATTAAAATCAATAAGGCATTTTCAAGCGTTAATAGTATTGTGTGGTGATTGCCTACAAGGCTCATGGTGTGTTTTGTATTTGAAACCCTCTTGGAGAAAAAGAAACATTTGTAAGCCATAAAAAATGCCCAGTTTAACTGCACTCACCAGCAAGGCAATGTTTTTTCCAGTTGATAGCTACTATCTGATGACATTTTGGGATTTTATTAATAAGCACAACAGACGCATTTATTACTAAAGTGGTTATCTGCCATTATCACATACAGGAATTAATGCAGAAGTGTTATTTCACCAGCAAAATCTTTGCCTTGCATGCTTTTAGCAGACAGGGTCATATTGCCTGATTTTTGAAAACTCATTTTTCCAAAGCCAAGCAAAAATTCCATTGCCTTTTGAACAGAGAGACAAAGGATGCGTGCACTCCGTAGCACATTAGAACATTCAAACACTTATATAATTAAAGCAAAGGTACTGTACCTTCTCATCATAAAGATATGCTACGGGTGTTCAGGAGGGGCCATGTGAGCAAGCGATATGAAGTGTCAGGGGCTGAAAAATCCCTGCTGGCCCAGGCTGCCAAGGGGGACCTCCCTGCTCCCGACCCCCCCCCGGCTCAGCACTTCTGTCTCGATGTGATAGGGTAGTGGCACACGAGATGGAGGAGACATTCAGCCGCAGGAGAAGCCTGTATCCCCCGAACAAGGAGGAAATAAGGAGCAGATGGGGCTCCCATCACTTGCTTCTCCTCCCACCGCCACTCTCTGACGCTGGCGGCTGCATCCCGTGCTGGGGGCGAGGGGGGAAGCGTGCTGCAGAGACGGTACCTCTGCTCCCCAACCCATCTTCAGCTAATGCCATCCCTGTCGGGGGCCTTGGGGTGGAAGCTTTTGACGTGCAAACTTTGCTACAGGGCTGTTGAAAATCAGCCCTGATTTCTTCATATTTTGAAAACTGCTCTGTTTCCAGGTCTCCTGGGGCAGCTGAGGAGAGCCATCACCATGATCCCAGCACTGCTGTTGCTGGGCCTTTCGGCCCTTGTTGGTGAGCCAGGGTTTGGGTTTGGTTTGCTGTGGAAAGCACCCCGGGAGCGGTTTGCAGAGGGACTGCGGAGAGGAGGCACAGTGCGGTCAGGCCTAAGGTTCCCTTTCTGCGGGGCATTGTAAAACCCTGTGTGGCTGAAGGTCCTCGGCTGCCATTTGAGGCTGCTTGCCACCCACCTGCGTCCTTTAAACTAGCACGCCTGAAGTATGGGACTGACGCCAAAAGGGAGTCACAGACAGACCTCCTCTTGATTTTCCCAGCTAACCTTTTCTGATCTCTCTGCCTACTGAGAGATGGTCTCACAAATGTCGCAGGCTGTTTGATGGAGGCTATTCATTCCTCAGTTACTGAGGAAGCAGGGCAATTTGCCCAGGCTGAGGCAAGCACTCTCCTGAATTAATTCCTCACCAAGTTATGGAGGGATGCAGGAGACGTTCCCAGCCAGGGTGCTCGGGTACCACCAGCCATCATCTGAGGGGCTGTGGACATTGGAGGGCACTGAATGGGAAAAACCCTCTGAAATAAATGCAGATGATGTTGTTCCCCTCTTCCAAACCAACCTTTAGACCTAACAGGCTGTCGTGGTTTAACCCCAGCTGGCAACTAAGCACCACCCAGCCGCTTGCTCACTCCCCTCTCTGGTGGGATGGGGGAGAGAATCGGAAGGGTAAAAATGAGAAAACTTGTGGGTTGAGATAAAGACAGTTTAATAGGTAAAGCAAAAGTCGCGCATGCAAGCAAAGCAAAACCAAGGAATTCATTCGCTCCTTCCCATCGGCAGGCAGATGTTCAGCCATCTCCAGGAAAGCAGGGCTCCATCACGCGTAACGGGTTACTTGGGAAGACAAAATGACATCACTCCAAATGTCCCCCACTTCTTTCTTCTTCCCCCAGCTTTACATGCTGAGCATGATGTTATACAGTGTGGGATATCCCTTTGGTCAGTTGGGGTCAGCTGTCCCAGCTGTGTCCCCTCCCAGCTTCTTGTGCACCCCCAGCCTCCTCGCTGGTGGGGCGGCATGAGAAGCAGAAAAGGCCTTGACTCTGTGTAAGCACTGCTCAGCAATAACGAAAACATCCCTGTATTATCAACACTGTTTTCTGCACAAATCAAAAACATAGCCCCATATGAGCTGCTATGAAGAAAATTAACTCTATCCCAGCCAAAACCAGCACACAGGGCAGACACTTATTCATGTAAATTGTCACCAGTTTCCCTTGCTTCAAGCTATCAAATTAGAAAAGAACAAATTTCTGTTTTCTGGCTTTCTTTGATAACTTTACTGATGGAAAGCAGTGGCAACGATGCAAGAGTGGCCAGCACAAGGTGATGAAGGTTATGGGTCTGGATGAATCCCTTATGCTTGACTTGTACTCACTGGCAGCACGCTGTACGATACTGCTCTGAGATCTTAAGTGTTCAAACACCTCTGTTTAATTTTTCAGCTCCATCCATGAGTTACAGTTGCTATGGTGATGTAAGTGCTCTTCAAGCCCCCACGATCTCCTGTACAGCCGTAAGAGCCCCGGACTGTGGTAGGTATCATTCAATGCTTGATTTGCCAACCTGTTTGTACCTGACAGAGAGATGCTTCACCTTCCATTATCGCCAAATTAAATGTGGTGCAGCTATTCAATTAGCCAAAAGGGAGAAAGCAACACCTCCTCCCCTAAAATGGCAGGTGCTGCGAAGCCTCCAGACCTGGTGGGAAGCGGGAGGACAAACCTCAGGTCCCACTCTAAGCAAAGGGAAATGGTGCAACCCCTTTTCAGTCAAAATGGCTTTTTCATCAGCCAGGAGTTTAGTATCAGCATCCTCGCAAAACCCCAGGGCCTCTCAGTTTGAAGGGGAAGATGCACAGAGCCTGGTCGTTAGTGCTGGCATGTTGGCTGATCTGGCCAGTGGTGACCTGCCAGAGACACATTTTGCAGGTCCTAGGTTTGTACCCATCCTACCTCTGGGTGACCCGTTTTTGGTAACTCCTTCACATTTCCCTCTTTCTTGCCTTGTGTTATTGCCCATTTCACTGCACAGCTGACTATGTCAGATTCGTACTGCTGAGACCTCCACGGACTGTAAGGGGCTTTGCCACGTACCTCAGATGTAGGCGCCTTGGATACCTGACTGCAGGTGTCCAAGTGTGGATCTGAATCCACTTGTTTCCAAACTGTTCCAAAATTACTTCAAAAAAACACCCCCACCTTTCTATACCCAGACTGACAACATAGGTGTTGCTGCAGTTTGGCTGGTCAGTAGTAATACACCTCTCACTTTTTTGAAATGCAGTTTGAAATTTCACTTTTCTGACTCCAGAGCCACATTGCCAGCGGTGCGGCAGCAGAAGAGGACCACAAACACACAGTCCCAGCTCCTGAGAAGCTTCCCTTTTCCCCTCATCATCCTTGGGTACTGGCACGGCAGCTCCCCGGCCATGGCCAGAGCCAATAGGGCTGTGCTTGTTCCTCAAGCACCACTGCCCAACTTGGTGTAGCTGCGTTTTCTTCAAGGAGAAAGCCAGGGTTTTGGATGGGATGGTGTGTAAGTCTGCCTTTTCCTACACCGCAGGACTTGCCATGGTACGGAGGACTGCTGAGGCAGACATCGTACGCCTGAGGAAATATGAGACCCCAATTAAGAGAGTGGCCAGAAAACTGTGCTTGGACCCGGCGCTCATCGCTGGCATCATCTCACAGGAGAGCCGCGCCGGCCTGCTCCTGGACAACGGCTGGGACCAGGATCGGCAGAAGTATGGTTTGATGCAGGTACATCAGGGCGATAAGTATGAGTAACAGAACAGTAATGGAGTTTATATCCCAAGGCTTTACCTTAGCAAATGACTGTTCTGCGTTCGAGACAGTGCTTAAATGCGTTCTCTCTACATCAAAGGTTGTGCTTAAGTGTTATCCCGAATGAGGTCACTTCCATGAGTCACAGCCCGGGAGTACAAAGAAGAGGGGGAAGCTACAGTGGTGGCTGTGTTCAGAGGGAAACCCATTTTCTTGCTTGACTTTTCTAGCTTAACAGGCAGCAACAGCCTTTCGGAACGTGGGATAGTGAAGAACACATAAATCAGTGCTCAACTATCCTGGTTCTTGCAATTAATGAAGTACGGGCAAGACATCCTACCTGGGCCTGGGACCAGCAGCTGAGAGGTACGCGATGGACTATATACTAGAAAGGGGCACGCTGAGTGATGGGAGTGCTGTGCATTTGCTGGTCTCACTTTTAAGGGAAAAAGACCATCAGTCTAGCAGATTTTACAGCACCTCTTTAAAAAAAAAAAAAAAAAAAAAAAAAGTTTTTTTTTTTTAAAGGGGGAACCCCAAAAACCTACACACGCCTTCAGATCTGAAAGAACAATCTACAAGGCAGAACATATTATTTAGAGCTTATTTTTCTGCTACCTATAATTAGCGTAATTAACGAGACATTTGGATCCCATCACAAAGCTATCAATGATAATCCTTCCATTTTACAACCCCCCTTTAAAAAAAAAAAAAAAAAAAAAAAAAGAGTTTTCTAGTTTAAAGGAGGCAATCCCAAAAGAGCAGACCGGCAAGAAGTCTGAATATAGATGCAGCCTCCCAGCTCAAAGCACGGTCCAGAGGGCCTCCATGTTTCTGCCTGCAGAAGGGAGACCGTGGTGGGGCGCCAAGCCCCTTGGCAGCTTTGATGCAGTAGGAAGCAGTGGGAAACCAGCCCAGCCTGGGAGCTGCCGCAGCGGCATGGAAGCACCCTGTGCAGGGCTCGGCAATGGTGTCGGGCACAGCCTTGGCTGGTTGCCCCTTGACTTCAGTGACAAACACTCACAGAGGGCCACTACATTGAGCAGCTGGGCTACCGCTGGTGAATGGCCAGATCCAGGAACTCCTTAAATTCCCTGGAAAAGGCATTGTGCTCAGTGAACATGAACAGATCTCAAGTTATCCTCTTATCTGTTCATCCTACAAGTGAAATGGCTGTCAGGTGGACAAACCAAACAAAAGCCACTGGGGAAGGCAGAAATTGAGGCACCGCAACACAACAGGTTTATCATGGCAGGCTGTTAAGCTGATTGTGTCAAGGAAGCTTGGGATCCAGGTTTGCTTGCAGTCTGTGTTATCTGCATGCTGGGTTGTTCTGCCTATGTAATTTCTTGTTCTCCTATCCTTGCCTTTTTAGATTACACCCTTTTCTGGGACTAGCATGCCATTACCACCGGCATTTGGAGAGAGTCATGGGTTCCTTCACTATAGAAATAAGGATTTTGCAAAATCAGTCACTTTTTGACAATAATGCACAATTAGCAATTTCCCAGGCAGTTGTGCAGGTTTGGTGAGATGCATGGTCCTTTTAGCTAGGGATTTTTAATATTAAATCTCTATTTCTTACTTACAAGCCCATAACAACTCCTTCTTAACTCTTTCCAGGGGGAATCTGCACCTACCGTGCAAAAATGGGCAACATCCAGGACTACGAGGAAGACCCGTGTGAGAGAGACAACAACTATGCCAACAGCGTGATTAGGCGAGCCCAGTACTTTAAGAGACATGGGTTCTAGCTCATAAACCTGCCCCGCCATGGAGTCTCTCCTCTACATAGACTAGCCCAGTAGTGATCGTAGTACCCAGAGCCATTCCTCAGGGTTCCTGGCAGGACCGATGCTGGTGGCACTGGCACCAGCACCTTGCTCACTCCAACAAACCCCAGCTCCCCACTTACAAATGGACAAGCTCAGTGCTGCCTTCCAGGGGACCTGCATGGATGAGAAACCACAAGCTTGGGGCCTTTGAAAGGCAGATGGAGACAGACCAACAATGTTTAAGCTTCAGGTGAGGAAGGTGCCTCTTCCCATTTGAAGCTGAACCCGGGGCTGTTCGTGCATCCCCCAGGTGCAGGCACACAAGCAGCTCTCCCCGGGCATCAGCTGTACTCTTCCCATCTCCTCCATCCATTTCCTTCCCTCTCCCCAGCCAATAAGGGGGAGAAGCCCCCTGAGTTGAAATCTTCCTTCCCCTTGATTGTGCTAGCTACTGGGCAATGAAGAGACTTCTCAACGAGCCTCTGGTCTCTGTGTGTTTCTGCACTAGCTGTGCATTCCCATGGCCAGTCTTGTGGGGGACAACGCTAAACACACTTCTGTTAGTCTCCCAAGCCATGGAGCTCATGGCCATGGTGGGGCTGGAGACCTCTTCAGGGTGAAAGGCAGCCTCACACAATGGGAAAGCCTCTAAATGGGAAGTTCAAGTGGCATAGCAGGCATGCAAAGAACCTTTCCATTAGAGACCAGCCCTCCAAGCAGGAGCCGGCCCCATATGTACCCTCCCCAGGAACCATATCACAACAACAGTGTTGGTAAAAAAAAACCACAACCTTTCCTGCTTTAGCTTTGGCACCTTCATGCTGGGTTTCCTCCAAGTTTAAAAGTGTTTCAGCACCTGTCCCTCTGCCAGGAATCCCAGCTCCTAATTAGGAGAGAATTAGCTCTGGGTTTATAAGCTCTGTGTTCTTCAATGTGGATAGGTCTGGGTGAAAATTTAGGTTTACTGAGAATAATACTGAAAATAAGAGAGAAAATAAAGACAAATGTTGAATCCCAATTTTCTTTTTTTTTTTTTATTTTTTTATTTCATAGGGCCCAATGGGAAGCAACCTGCAACTTGAGTAAATAACCCAATTTGGTACTCTTGGAATGGGTCTAAAACTCAGTTTGAGAACAGGGAGAGAAAAATGGTGCTGCAGATTGGGGTGGGTGAGAAGAGCTGGGCTGGGCAGCAGGGCACAAGGCAGCCCGAGCCTGGCTGCTGCCACCAAACCTGTGAACAGGGGAATAAGGATGTTCACTTTTAGCCTTGTGAATAACCATTTTGGAGGCATCAGGGCACCTTTCTGCCAGCTGTCGCCATTGCAGAAGTGACATGCCTGGCAGTGCCTGCCCAACAGCACGGGGCTATGCTGCATAAGCGCCTTGGCTGTCGGGCAGGGTCGATGCAGGCAGTGTGAGAGCTGGTTTGGAGATAGCTTTTGCAAGCAGAGCAATTTTAATGCTGTACTCCTTGTCTACCCAGTCACTCATCTGCTTACTGACACTGCAAGGACTGTGTGTATTTGCAAGCAAACAACTCATTTTATCATCTCTGGAGACCAGAGGGAGCTCTAGGACATCTCTAACATTAGGGATTTTTTTTTTAAGACTACAGAAAACAGTTCAGTGTTGAGCTACCGGAGGTATTAAACTCTGTATTATTTAGTCTTTAGTGAATTCTGCACTATATTAAGATAATTTCAGTAAAATCATTACTTTGTAACACAAACTTGTAAAACATGTCATGTGGTTTGATCCCCCTACTTGAAATAGCTTATGTAAAATTCATAGGTTGAAGTCTTTGCTGTATTATGTTATATAAACCTTTCTGTTATACAAACCTTTTATGTAAAACCTATGAATGCATTTTTGGTAGATCAGTATAAACTTCAAATGGGGCAGGAAATCTCATTGCTGCCTATGCGTATAAAGTTGTTTTTTGAGTTTGGAGGGTGAACAAGAGTGGAGCTTTCTTTGGTTCCCTTCATGTCACCCTTAATTGCTGCCAGCAGGCTCACTGTCACCAGTACTGGTGTTGCCATCCCTGGGGATCTGGTAGCTCCTCAGGAGTCCAATTTCTGCATGTATTACCTGTGAAGCTGCTGCTTCACATTATGGTAGCACCACCCAAGTGCCTGCAGACCTGCCTGCTGGCTTGTGCAGCATTGCCACGAAGGATTATTTATTTTTTAAGTAGATTTAAAAGTCCTGATTATGGGAATTTCATATTTTGTTGCAAATATTATTTTAGGGTATCAGTGCTTTGTAGCAAGTAAGGAAAACCTCTGTGGAAAATGAGTTGAAATATAATTGCTTGATAAATTGGCAGGAAGGAGTAAATAATTAAGGGAAGTTTAACACTGGCATACTGCCTTAAGATTTGAGCAAAAGCTTTCCTAACAAACAGTGAGATGAGATTCCTTTTTCCCTCTGATCTTTTCCTGGTCACCCATGTCGATGTTACTCGAAGATACTCGTCAGGCTGATGTACACAGGGCTGCTGTGGTCGCACTCTTGGTCGCCCTTTTGACCCACGGCCTATGAAAAAAAAAGGCAGCTGGCGAATGATCTAATACCATGTAACACACCAGAAAAAGCAGAAGCACGGGTAAGGAAAAAGAAAAGAAGAATCGGAGGGGAAAGAAAGGTCCAGGGAATCACAGACCAGGACACCTGGCTGCAACACTGAAGAAGATGCTGGAGCAAAGGATGGAATGATTGCTTTGTGAGCAGCAAGAAACAGTCAGGAGGGCTCTGGCAGTCTGGCTTGGCAGGGAAAAACCACCTCAGACCAACCAAAGTCCTTATCTTAGTGGGTAAGTGGCCAAGAGAGGAGCCGTGGTTGTGCCATATCATGAGCTTGATAAGGCTTTCGGCAGCAATATGAAGTGCCCTCAGATGTGAAAGGCCTTAAGATAAGTACAAAAAGCACCGGTTATCAGCAGCTTGTGGTCCGACTGGTGAGGCATTTAAAGTGGAGCTGCACAAGTCTGTCCTACACCAGTTTCTCTCAAATTTGTAGTTGGAATATGAATGGTGGACAAGAGCTCTCAAACCAAGGGTGACGGCCATGCTGAAAGGGAACACGAGCACTTCTAACGGTTAAAAGTTATGAGAACCTGTTAGGAATCAAAGTATTAAAAGAAAGTAAACACAGGTGCGAAACACTCGAGGAGCTCAAGCAGCAGTATAAGCAGGGGAGGAGCTGGCAGGCGACCATCCTGTGGAAAGGACTTGGGGGTCCAGTGGGAAACAAAGGAGTAGATGCCAGGGGAGGCAGGGAAGGAACAAATAAAAAGAGGGAAACCCCCTTTTTGGAATTTATCATATTACTGTGTACGAAGCGCTTGGGGTAATTCTCCTCTCGGCCGTTCAGTTGTCAGCATCAGTGAGGCTCAGTTACAGTGTTTGGGTACATCGGACCAACAAAAACGTGCTCAGGAGGATCGCAACTCAAATGGAAGGTACAGCCTATAGGAAACACGGAATTAGACTTGCTTTTTTCTCCAAAAAACAGAAAGAGGACACAGTTATGATTCTCTAATACACAAAAGAAATGAAGGGCAATGACCCATGTCCTTCCCTTCCCCTTGAGGGTAAGGCAAGTAGCACTGAGTTTGGCAGCAGGTTTGTGTTGGATGATACTTCAAAAAACTTCCAGGGTTGTGAAGCAATGCAACATTCACTGGGCGTTTTAAAGAACAAACAAGACCAACAGGTAAAAGTAGCTGTATGTCATACTGTTGTAGAGCAGGGAAATGCAGTAGGTGTTGTTTAAGAACCTTTCCAGGCCAACATTGCTGCATCAGAATCCACAGTCAGCAAATTGAAAAGACAACAAATTACAGACAGGGAAGCAAAATCTTCTCTGTTGGGGTCCTATGCTTTGGTTTTACAACCGTTGCCAGTACTGGGAAGTATATTTAAATGTGTTTCTTATAATAAACAGCAAATGTGAGGTGGTAAGTTTTCTCTTTCATCCCCTTTTTAATCTGCAGGAGGTATGGGCTGATCCCTCCATGGCTCAGGGAGGGATCTGTGTAAAGTCCGGGGCTGCAATGACTGCTTTCATAGACACCAGGCAGAGAGACCTAATTAAACAACCTGTTTCAGTGGTATCTGAAGCAGTAGGAAACCACTGCCAAAAGCAAGTCCCTGTGGGCCAGAGCCATAAGCCACATGAGCAAACAGATTGCTCTGATGACTGACTCCGAATGCTGGGGTTGGATCGGCTTGAGCCACGTGTCCATGTCACTCCCTCCGAGAGAGGCAGAAAACAAAGGGAAATGCCACCACAGCAATGCAGTGCTGTATAACTGAGTTTGTTCTGCTTCGTTACTCATTGCAAAAGTGCACTGGGATTTCCCAGCCAGCAACCCCTTCCCAGGATGGTGCTTCTCTGGTGGTTGCCTTGGGCACACTCAGGGCCACACCCCAAAATACTAGGCTCATTTTATGGGGTTTTCTTCCTGATGAAACAACCTCATGTTTTATCCAGGCCGGAAAAGGCAACACTGGCCCCCTTTTAAACTGGAGATGTCAGATGAACGTGAGAAACACCGTGTGGGTCATACCGGTGGTCGGTCACCCCTGAAGCCTGCCTCCAGCAGCAGCAGGAGGAGATGCTGCCTGGGGAGGACACATGAGCTTGGCTGCTTTCTGGAGTCCATTTTCCTTGTACAGGCCCAGCATCCCCAGCGGTTTAACAGGGGTGGCAGGAGGCACATCCACCTTTTGTATGGCACTGGTGTCCATGAATCCATCCAGTGGCTTTGGGAATGTGGTGGTGCTGTCGGCCTCCACAGCCTCCTGGGCAGCAAAGCCATGGCCATAGGTTCCTTGATAATGCTGGTCCAAATCTTTATAAAAGCCGTTTTGAAGACCCAGCTATACTTCACCCATTGGCCTTAATCCATGTACTCACTGACACTGTCCCAGAAGACCATCAGGGACCAAGGCAGGATTGCCCCTCTCCC